TAGGGTTCTCATTATTTTGAACTAATTCTTATTTCAAAAGGAGCAGCGCTAAATTTTCTACAAAAAAAACATATTTTTATTAATGCAAATATGTAGCTTTTTTTTTTGACGCACGATACAAACAGTCAGTTCAACAGAAGTAACTTGCAAAAAACAAAGGTTTGGCAAATTGTTCTTTACTGTACGTTTTAGTTCTTGAATCACTGCTATTTTTGACTTCACTTTTTCTCAATCTATTGTTTGAGCAACTTCATCCAAAATACAGTAACTCTGTGAGCTTAGATTTGGTTATTAGGGAACCAAACATTCTTCTCAACAAATGGCCCGAAGTTATTCACTTTTTCAATCATTCTCCTGATCCAAGCAATACGTGAGTAGTCTCGTGCACTTCATAGCTCGATTGATCGGTCTCTGGTATCACTTAACACCAATGTGTCATTGTTCCAAGACTAATAGCAGCTCTCAAAGCATGAAAGTTTTTTCTTAGACTGCCACTATTTCGAACCTTAGAAAGAACAATATCTTGAATCTCTCTAGTTTTTCATTCTTGTTTTCGTATATGACAAGGAACTACTATTTATTTGAGCATGATGGCTATATATACTTGAGTATCGTTGAGCGAAAAACATCTCTAGAGAACAAGTGACCAAAGAAGAACATCCTAGAAAATATGTGCCCCTTTTCGACATCGACATAGGATGTACCAGAAAGTAAAAAAGAAAGATGAGGAGAAAGATTTTTGTACGCAGTTGAACATTCATGAAACAGAGAGAAAACAACATGCATAATATTTATGCATGATGACAGAACGACAAATCCCAGAAGAAAAGAGCAGCAAAAGTGAGAATCAAAAATATATGTCTTTTTAGAGAATTGAAAGCTACTTCTTTTGCAAAAGAAGTTAGTTCAAAATGATAAGAAGAGAAGATGATAAACGGATAGTACTGAGATCACCGTTTATTCTGCGCCACCGGTTATATTGACAGCTTCCGGTACTTCAAAAAAATTTGGGTGTGGGTGTGGATGTGATATGAGTGTGAATGAAATGAAGATATGCACCCACACTATATAAGGATTTTTATAAGAATCCTTATATAGTGTTTCTTTTGTAATTATTTTGATTTCTCCTTTTTTCATAATATGTAAATGATCTGACGCGTGCGATGCTATTAATAAGATGTATGTTATGCATTCCTTTAAATTGAGGTAACAACGATGAATTCGATCATTCAGTATATCTTAAGTTCACACAATCTTTCTAAATGACGAATAGTCAAATAGAAGGAATAGATAGCTCTCAGAAACTGTCTGTTTCTGTTTATCGAAATAAGCACTATAGAAAACAAATTTTAGTAAAGATAAAATTATACGCGGATTTTTAATGTCGCCATGGCTTCTTAGTAACGAAATGGTAGTTTCAAACACACATAATGTCACAATTTCAGTAACTGAAAAAATATTATTTCATGGGAGTCGTCGTCCTATTCCGTAATGTTGAACATTGTGGAATCAGTTCCGCACCCGGAACCAGTTCCATCCAATTCCGGGAACTCGATCGTCATTACCAATAACAGACCTATTAGTCACTGGCCGAGTTCCGTCAATTCCCGGAACTTAGTCCAGACGGAATTACTACGAATTCCCAGCAATTCCGGAATTCCGTCGGATTCCTGAATTCTGGGAATTGAGTGGCGATGGAATCTCCACCAATTCCGGAATTGCGCAATAAGACGGAATTCCGTCCAATTCCGGAATTGAGTGGCGATGGAATCTCCACCAATTCCGAAATTGCGCAATAAGACGGAATTCCGTCCAATTCCGTGCGATTCTCTCTCGACCCAATTCCCGGAATTCCGTATCGGAATTACTTACTTATGCGAGGGAATAATCTTCAGTCACAACACTATGCGTGAGAGTGAGGGCAGGAAGTAATTCCGGTACGGAATTCCGGGAATTCAGTCGCGACGGAATTGCACGGAATTCCTAGGAATTCCTTCCGATTCCGGATTTCCGGAAATTAAGTGGAGATGGAATCCCGACGAACTCCGGAATTGGAAGTAATTTCCGGAATTCCGAAATCGGACGGAATTCCGTCTGATTTCGGCATTGCTGGGAATTCGGGGTAATTCTGTCTGCACTTAGTTCTGGAAATTCCGGGAATTTGATCGAACTCGGTCAGTGACGAGTAGATCTGTTATATTGAGTGATGAGCGAGTTCCCGGCATTGGATGGAACTGGTTCCTGGGACAGAACTGATTCCGGAATGTTCAACATCGCGGAATAGGATGTATTCTCTTTCATGGTAGCGACATCAGATAAAGTTTTCACGTAAGATCTCAGGCACCACACTGAATTCAACGGTAATCGTAATCTTCGATATAGTAGTTATTTGAAGATTGATACGCTGCGATTTGCTTCACAATTACGTATATTTATGAATCAACTTATTGTGTACGGTGTTTGAAATACAAGTTATATATGCTATTATTCCTGCACATTTCGTATAATGTATGCTGGTAGTTAGAAAAAATATATAAGGTCACAAAGAATAAGTTATTTGGCTAGGTGCATGACATCGTAGAATAGTTTCTTCAATAATTCTATAACGAGAACATGACTTGCCAAAGAATAGATGTTTTCAAAGTAAAACCAAAACTTCTACAAGGTTAGTCAGTCTGGACTTTGTAGAAGTTCTAAGAAAGACTGATCGTTCTCAGTTGACTTTACTGATTTATCTTAATCATAGAAAAATCTTTGAAAAACACGCAATACGCAGAATTTCAGTATCCTACAGTTTAGTCAACCTGTAACTTGTTTTTAAAAGGTAATGTAAAAAGAGTAAACAACTCTACTCCAAAGTGCTATTATTGCACGGAAAATATTCCAGATGAATCACTACGACGATCGTAAACAATCTTAAACATTCGGTTACGACGGCGTAAATATCTCATTTATGACCGTAAGCCAACTTTTTTGGTAGGCGCATTATTATGGACGTATGATGCCGTGTGCTATTTGGAAAAAAACAGGCATCATTTGCAGTGACATTCGTGCCGTGAAACTGCCGTACTTCTGACGATTGCGGCAGTACGCAATAATGTTTACGACCGTCATGAAGCGAAACAGCAGCCATCAGTAAGTCCTTGCTTCCTTACCTTAATATACATCTGCTTATGCATATAGCCATACCTGTGAAGTTAGACATATACTATTGCAGTGTACTCTCAACTCTACACCGTTACTTTGATGCCGAGACTCATGCCTATACCTCTTCATGATTATAACCTTATCACTATATCCTAATACCAATTGTCTTATGACTTTACCCTTCTGTTAAACGTCTCATAGGTACTCACTTATATATATATATGTTTTTGACTATTCGGTGACATTTATATTCGTTATATTACATGGTCTAGTACATTTTTAGGTGCCGAGTTAAATAATGTATGTTGGGCAATAATGATGTATAGTACGGTTTGAATCAATGCATTGTATTTGATAGCCTATTGAATCAATGTAGAATGTTTTTGTTGGCGACTGTATAGTAATAAATAAAATGGAAAATAATAATCATATATAAAATCATTTACAGCAGGCGTATGAGATGGCTTACAGTGTTATCCAAGCGTCGTTTATTGGTACCGTATTTTAATAATAGTTGTACACGACAATTTTTTACAATCATTGTTTACGATGCTTGTGCTACACTGTAAAACATTCCTTATGATTGTTGTAAACGGTCTACGTAGACTGTTGTCGGCTTCCATCTTAATTGATCAGTATATGGCTGTGTATCATCGTGGATAATTGACCCGAATATATTTTGGAAGTCAACGAAAAAACTGTTGAGTAAACAAACATGTTTTTCGTTTGCCCGATTTTAACATTGCAACCATAGTAGAAACTGATTAAGGCATCTTTCATGTTATTTCAATTAATGTAAACGAATCATGTGAAAATGGTGTTATTTTAAACATCGAAAAAAGACATTATTCCAATGCAATGCTTAGAAATATCCCAACAATTATCTGATACGATCAATATTTTTACTGATTTTGTGGCTCTGACACAGAATGCAACATTTCATTATATTTCATCCTGTAATTATTTTTCGGATATGAACTCAAATCTTAATATGTATCATAGAACTTATTCTACACTTTGACGTATGTAGCAAGAGTCTAACCGCTTAACATGAAACAGTTTGACTGGTAACTAAACTAATTAGGTGAGATAAATTCTACATCATAAAACATTGAAGGCCAGTAAAATTTCAGTTACTCAGTAACGCAGAACATTGATAATCTTCAGTTTGCCTTATTTGATAGATGCTATGTGAGTGAATTTCGTTACAGAATAAAATTATTTCAAAGTGATTATTGGTTACGCAGTAAGTTCGGAAGACAGTCAATCTACCCGTTGCGATTGTGTTGGTGATGATGATGGTGAATGTGGATGTGGGGTAGTAGCTTTCTTGATAGTAAGATTGCATATTTTATCTTCACATACGTTCCCTACACACATCGAACAATTAAGAAAAAAAAATACCATATGATGGTTTTTAAAGATTTGAAGAAGACTTATTCGTGTATTCAAGCTGAAGAAGTAATGTTGAATAATATTTGTAAAAATCGATCACGTAAATGGGAACTTTATAATGATATCAATAATCTGAAAAACAATATTTGTTTAATTTTAATATTCACTTAAGTTATAAAAATTGTGTTTTTTGTGCGAACTTTTAAAGGACCTTGAATAGATGATTGTGCATTTTGTTATCATTTTAGATAGCTGAATTGCAGTCCAATATTGTTTTGCTGCAAACCTGCTAACATAGTTTTATGGTCTAGATGGAGATACTTACGCACGAACGGTGTCAGTTTATACAAAATAAGGGTTGCAAACGACAGCTCTTTCAAAAGCAGAGTGATTTGTATCAGCATGTATTGGAAGTATGTAATCAGATGAACACGTACGGTATACATTCATCTAATCGAATGAAAACTGGTGGCTTCCAATATACAGGAGTAGGTGATACTACTCGATGTAGCATATGTGGCCTCGAAGTGTCTGGATGGACTCGAGAGATGGAACCATTTTATATCCATCTTGAACGTAGTCCCAATTGTTCATTTGTTCATTCCGTACAATCTAAGGGCAAGTTGATACTCAATGTTGTGGAAAATCCTGCCAAACGACAGAAACTGGAATTAGAGAGCAGTCAATGGAATAAACGAAAAAAATTTGCTGAACTAGATATCCTTAAACAAGTACGTCGCCGAACATTTTCACATTGGCCAGGCGAAACAGTACCAACGAAGGAACAAATGATCGCAGCTGGATTTTTCCAATGCAATGTTGGAGATCGTGTTATTTGTTTATATTGTAACCTCATTTGTCAACAATGGACAGGAAATATAGATGATCCAATTGAAGTCCACAAAACTCTGTCGCCAAAATGCTCCTTCGTATTATTAGTGCTAACACAAACAGAGCCTTCATCCATTTTGGCTGTAAATGAAATTTCAACAAACAACAATAGTAATCAAGAAACTTCATTGAATAATATGAATCGACTTCGATTCGATCAAAATGCTCCTTCATCACCATATCATATTGATTATGCCAATATTCAAAGTCGAAAAGCAACTTTTGAAGCATGGACCAATGAGCCATCACCTTCTGTTGATGATTTAGTAAAAGCTGGTTTCTTTTACACCGGCATAAACAATATTGTGAGATGTTTTTATTGTAATGGATCACTACAGAATTGGAGCAAAAATGATAATCCATTAATTGAGCACATAAGATGGTTTCCACACTGTGCATATGCCAGACAATTAAGTAGTAATCAACTTTACACTAAAGGTCAACAAACCAAAAGCATTCAACAAGGTTGAACAAGTTATTTTTTTGGAGAACGACAACATACATAGGAATTTTCTTTTATAGAGCTTGAGAGATCTAAAGCTTCGGCAAATAAAACAGATAATTCATCTGTTTCAAATCATCACCGATTGCAAATAAACGATGAAAGACTATTATCACGTCTAGTTGCTGCTCGACTCGATCTACCAATCTCACAAAGATTACTCAGTCAAAATTTTAAATTATCAGTCGTAAAACGTTGCTGGGAAGATCAACTTCAGTTGAAACGTGAGCGAATAAACATAGTAAAAAATGTATTCACTACAAAATGAATTTGTCTTCATTAATATATTTCTTCAGAAGATGACTTTGCCAGCGAATGTGATCTATTCATTGCTTGTGTCATTCTTCAAAAACAAATCGAACATATTAATGGAAATAAAGATAATATCATAATACCAAGTGTTAAAATGAAATTGATTCACGAACAAACACAATCTGGTTTGTATAATATAGTTTTTAAAAAAAATGAGCTATCCATAATTAAGCGTTCATTCGTAGATAACTTAAATCGAGAAGAATTTGTTTCACCATCCGTTTCGATAACTTCAACAAATGATTCAGTAATTAAAACAAACGATACATCAACACAAGCACCAACTATAGTGGAGCCGATGACTATGGAAAAAACAAATGAAGTGGAGAAAGCAGAGGAAACTATTTCAGAAACTAAATTATCTATAAACAATCCTTGTGTTTTGTGTTGGAAAGAGGAAAAACGTCTTGCTTGCATTCCTTGTGGTCATTTATCTGTTTGTGTTAGTTGTAGTCAAACAATTCGTATATGCCCTATATGTCGTAGGGATATTGAAGCGTTTGTTCGAGTATACATTTAAGTAATATTACTACCGAAATTAGCGAAGCATTGACAATAACTTACTTATTTGTTTTCTAGTGATTTCCTACTTTTTTTTTACATTCAACTTAATTCCTCATATATTATTATACTTTGAATTATTGCATATTAATCACGAAACGAATATGTATTCCAACTTTGAATTTTACAATGCTAACCTGGCAAAAAGCAGTGTCTTATTTTTAAATTTTTTGGTGAGATTTCATGCACTACTGACAATTCTTTTTCTTTAGACTTTTTTCTCTAATGAACATGATACTATTTGCTTCTTTTCAAAAATACTGTACTGCTATAGTGGAGTAAGAAAATATTTTAACCTTTTACCTCTCGAGAGTGTTTCTTGAATGTCTTGATGAAGCAACAAAGGCAAACATAACATAGGTCGTCCTGGTATGTCAATGATATGGACAAATAATGTCGGCAAAAGTTATGAAAATTCATGTTTTTTGAAACTCTGCAAGATTGCTCAATGGGGTAAAGGGATAAAATAGCAGTATTGATTATTTATTATCTTATTCTTGAATTTCAATCATCTTATAAACCTGACAAGTTTTTAGTTACTTTTTCTGTTTTTCTGTCATTTTGAAGTTAATCATTCAATAAAATACATATGACTTTACTATTGATGAATTGAACACAATCGAGTAACTTATTTTTACCTAGAAAAGAACTGAAATTTCATAATTATTTATTATTATTCATTGCAATTCAAGTTTTTATGTACCATATGTTTTTTTTAATTTTTTTAGAACATCATTTTCAATGGTGAATCAAAGTCTTTTTAATTCATAAGTGCCACATTTTTGTTTTAAACAGTTATATTTGTGAAAAAGTAAAATACAATGTGAAAGTCTGACAAACAACTTCTATTCAAATACAACACAAAAAAAATGCACCTAAGCTACAATGATTAGTATGTTTGAAGATTTATATCGAAAATAAATACCGAATTCCATCTAACAGAATTCGATCAAATGAATGGACGATTGTTTGAGTCAAAACAACAAGAATGTCAGCTATAGATAGCATAAATAGCTTATATCTACTTTAAACATCAACAGGACAATTGATACCATTATTACTTGCATCAATAGATTCGTAGTGAAAGATGTCGGCGAAAGTTTCAAAGAACAAACTTGTCAAGCACCCTTTTATTTATCATGTCTCAGAAATTGCTCAATGTTCGAACAATTGTTTAGAATAAACTCAAAGTAAAAGTCGATTATACTATTGTTGATCAATAACATGATGAAAACAAACATCGAAACAATATATTGATGTGTATAGCTGCGTTAACTTTGAGATAAAATAATCAATTGAATTAGCTTGAAATTTAAATAAATGATTTGATTCAGTTTATAAAACAATCAAAGATAGGTGAGACAAATTGTTTTGTTCTTTTTTCATATACAAATTTATCTTTTCTCTCTTTTATAGCATACAAAATCCAGAAAATATCAGTAAAATCAGATTCAATTTGGAATTATTTATTGACATTACATTTTCATCTAATTCTTATATTGTAGAAATTCAAAATTAATATTATATGATTTATTTTATTTTTATGTAAAAGACTATTGTCAAGTCTTCGTACTGATAAAATATTCTATATGTTATATCTACAAAAAAAAAGCATTTGTATGAGTCATTCTTAAATAGTATAGAACAGAAGAAAAGCCAACATATGATGAAGCTTTTTTTTCTTTTCTTCTCTACTAATAAAAACACGTCATGACTGAATTGTGTAATAACATTTATTTTTTTGTATATGTATTTTATGTCTTTGAATACAACTAAAAAAGCAATGTCTGAATTTGAAGGTTATGGTAAAATAAGTGAAAGTAGTAGTAATTGGACTTTAGAAAAATCTGATAATACAACATTCAAACGTATATTATGGTGTGTAACAGAAAAAGTTCATGGAGCAAATTTTTGTTTTCTATGTGATAATAATGGTCAACGTATACAGTGTGGAAAACGAACAAGTTTATTATCTGATACTGATGAGTTTTTTGGTTATAAACGTCGATTATTCAATGAAATTATTCCCAAAATTCAACAAATTTATCAATTCGTTCAAAATACATTTCCTAATTTAGAAAAATTGTATGTATTTGGTGAATTATTTGGTGGCTATTATCCACATCCAGATGTACCAAAATTACCTAATATAAATGCAATTCAAACTGGTATTTGGTATTGCCCTGATATTGAATTCTATGCATTTGATTTAGCCATATCTATTAATGATAAACAAACTTATCTTGATTATGAATATGCTATAACCGCTTTTCAACATGTGAATTTATTGTATGCTGAACCATTATTTATTGGTAAATATGAAGAAGCTCTCGATTTTAAACTTGGTTTTAATTCTCATATACCAGGTAAACTTGGACTTCCACCTCTTCATGAAGACAATAAAGCTGAAGGTATAGTAATTAAACCAATGCATGAAATTATGATTAAAACAAATAAAGGTTCTCCTATACGTGCTATTGTCAAAAAGAAAATTGAAGAATTCGCTGAAGATAAATATAATCAAGCACAAAAACAAGTATTTAAAAATGATGAACAATTTTCAAATGTTGATTTATTAAGATTTGAAATTGATGCTTTAATTACTGATAATCGGTTGAATAATGCACTTAGTAAAGTTGGTCATGTTACTAGAGATGATAAAGAAAAATTAAAAGAATTATTAAATATTTATGTAAAAGATATTATGGATCAATTATATGAAAACGGAAATGAAGATATGTGGAATAATTTATCTTCGAACGATCGAAATTTATTGACAGAAGAATTAACTTTAAATGCGAAAAAAGTTATTTTAAAATATTTAAAAACCAATAAATGTTAAGATCTGATATTACTTTATGGATGAGTTGCCTAAGTAATAATAAGATCTATTCAGAATAATGAGTTTTTTGTTGTATTGAACATCGAACAAAGAAGATTTTGTTATATACTTGACAATATTGGTCAAGTGAGCAAAAACTCATTCATTTAAACTCGTTTCTTTCTTATAATAAATACTAAAAACTGACATATATACTCTAGAAGTTTCAAGCCATATGGATGTGTTCTTCAGGAGATATGGATGTCATTAAACAATTGACAAAAAGTGTGCTGGTTTGCTAATCGTATTGTTAGGAAAATTTAAATATCTCCAGAACAAAACAATAAACTTCGCACCTCTTTGGTAGAAATTTGGCAGACACCTATTCCTGTAACGTCGGTAAATGTTAGTTAAATCAGCAATCAATGATTGAATGGAATTGACTGTGGCTTACTCTGTCATCTATTCACTCTTTTGCTTCTTCACTCTTGCTTATTTCTTATTAATAAGCTTGTGTTCTATATGAAATAAGCACAGCTGGAGTGATAAAGTATTGTAACAGAAGTGGAAAAAAATTCGCACTTTTCGTGGGTCATGATGCACTTCTACAATATAGATAATTTTAATTTTATAGAACATTTAATTTTCTTTTCTATTTATCAACTTGCAAACAATCAGAAAAACAAATATTTAATAGTGATGTCATTTGATCGCCGTACAATAAAGACACTTTAATCAGCTCAAGTATCGATGATCATATGAAGATTTTAGTAGGCTTGACATATTCGTGGAAATCAACGACTGTTAATATTAAAAGCTTTTATACAAATATCATTCTTTCAAAATTTGTATGTTTCGTTGGAAATACACAGACGGACTATGATACCAAGCCGTTGGGTATCATCTATGAAAAAGAAATACCACACTGGAAATTAAGTGCACAAATTACGTAGTTTAAAATATGCATAGACTAGGACTTCTACGACTGCTTTCTATCTACAGAAATCATGTGAGATATGAGAAATCGATTGAATTTGTTCGATTACAAGAACTTTTGAATCTCAGGTTGAAATAGTACATTCTCATTGATGATTTTGCAGTATAAGCATGGATATGTCAAATTTTCTAGAATCGATTGATGTCTATATCATAAAATGGTAAGATCAGAGTTAACGAAATAGAACTGAGACCATGATCATGGGAGGACAAAATAGTTTGAACTGTTAACTTTTTTTAATAAAAAGTCATTTGAAAGAGTTTTCTCAATATCAATAGAAAAACTTACAAATATGAAAGCCATTTTGATTCATTATCGCTCAATACAAACTCTTTCGATTTCGAGGAGACTGAAAACTTCTTACCACATTAATAGCACTCAGACAAAAAAAATGGCAAAATTTTGGAATGGAAACGCTTATTTTTCATCAAGAATAAATTAAAATGAAACTATTTTCATTTGCTTTTAATTTGAGATTTTTATTGTCAAGATTCTTTTTTTGTTGAATTCTTTCTAATCGATTAAAAAGATTCGCTTATTTTAGTTAATGGAAATTTATCAATGGGTTTTAAAGGACAAGAAAGATTTGACGAAAAAATCAAAACAAGATGAAGATTGGATTATATTGGGATAAAAAAAGTAGCATTTGAATCAAATTCAAATGGAGTCGTTTTTTATACATGCATAATATTCATTTGAAATGATGTAATTAATAATTAAACACTTAACATTAAAAAATCCATGGAAATCTTTTATCAGGTGATCAATCCAATCGATACTCGAGTTCGGTTTATACGCTCTGTAGGGTAGAGCAAAGAGTTTATGAGAGTCATTTTTAGGACAGAATTGAGCAAAAAAAAAGTGTCCTATGCTGATTTTTTTTGTGATGACTGCGGCTTGATTTTGATTAATTATTGCATTGAATTGATTTGAAAATCTGGAGTATTTCTGTTTTCCAATACTCTGACATCACTGTACTGTTTTTGGATGGTAATACTACATGAAAAAAGTATCTCTTAGTGTAATTCAATTGTTTGTATTATTAATTGATATGTTCTATATTTCTCTATTTATATTTTGAATTTCGATGACGATCTTTGTTTTTTGCATTGAATTCAATTATTCGAGAACAAATCATAAACTTCGAACTCAATTCTCAAAATTGAATAGTAATTTATTTTTTCGTAAAATCTCTCTCATTGCTAGTTTAATATCGTTAAAGGTAAGAATTTTCTTTGATTGATTATGTCCACCTTTTATTACAGATTCACTTGCTTCAGTATGTTGGGTTGTAGTGCTCAGTAGACATTGCATGTGATCTTTTATTATTGAAATCAATGCACTAGAAGAATGTAGTACGACAGAAATGTCAGTTTCTCGATACTATTCATTCTAAATGTCTCTCATCAACATTGTATGAACATATATTGATGATGCATCAGTTTTATTATCATATCTGACTGTGTACTAACTCTATTGATAATCATATTTGCTTCATTTATATATATATTTTTTAATTTGTACGACTATTCAGAGTATTGTTTCTTTTCAGTATGCTTGTTGATATTATTGTTGAGCTGCGACGATCAAACTTCGTTTTGGATGAAATACTGTCCACGTAAACTGTGCGAGGATGATCGGTGCGATTTGAAAAAGATAAAACCATAATTCAGTTTGATTTACAACAACATAATAATTGGGTAAAGATGTAATAAGAACGAACGTAGCAGCAATAACACAACTGAGATCGGAGATGATCAATAAAACAACACCTTTTCTTGTCATATCCTTAGTGATTTTCATCGCAAACCAGATAGGAAAGAATAGAATGGTCATACAGAGAATAATTACTGCAGCTATTTGTCTCAAACGAAAGCTCATTTCAATCCTATTGCTATCATAAGACAATGCACCGGCTAGAATTGTGAGAAGAGCCGAAAGCATAATGCTCAAAAATGTTCCTATGCGAATACTTCGAGTGAAGCACGATCGAATACCACGGACTTTAATTAGAAAATCGTAATTTGCCAAAATAATGAGACGTTGGCCGATGGCGAGTAACCCCGTCATGATCGTATAGACAAATCTTGATGTAAGTGTAGCAGTAGGAAGTACTGCTCGTAACACGAATTCCAAAAAGATATTTATATGAGAAGCAAGAAGAAAAATGACAAGACGACGTGGTTGAAAATGTGACTGAATAGATTGAATGATCCATGCAATTAGAGAAATACCGGCGAGACCAGCAACGATGCCAGAAACTTTAATGTTTGGTTCATATTCTAGATAAGAGTAATTGGATATATTGGCCATAATATTTCCCAGTAAAGTAGTACCGAATTTTGCTCTAAAAAGTATAAAAATCTTCAAGAGACTGCAAAAATTCCCTTTTTTCAGAACAGAACGTCTCTTTTGATCTCAAATGCACCAGAACTACTTTTTTTTTCAGTATAAACTCACTCTTGCTTTTGCTCGTGCTTCAATTTTTTTTAGTTTTTCCTTCCTCCATTCTGTCGTTGTCGGTATATAATTTTTGAACCAATGAGAGTATACATATTGTCATCTCGTCAAAGTAGCATAAGATGAGAAGAAAAAAAGACAATGGAAACGTGCGCAGAGAGCTATACTGTGTTAAAATTAAAAATAAATTAGGTACATTCACCTGGCAAAGTGCATCTACAGCATGTCATGTGAGGTTGAAAAGCTTATTTGATAGTTCAATTACGGTGATTAGGAGAAAAATGAGTATTTATAATTTTGTCGTAGACTTGAATATAGTTATAATGAAAATCTGATCATTCCTATTCGATAGTTCCTTAGAAGAAACTTCTAACCAAATCTCTAGATCGAGCAAATATCTTCAAAGGCTAGTTGGAGTTTCTAATAATAGAATCTGCTCGTTTTTATTGAGTACCATTTCATTTATGAACTTGGTGTCTTTGAAAAA